CGGATAACGGGTTCTGTACTGTACTATGAAGAATAGAAATAATAGTACATGTAATGCATTTGAATCTCTTCAACTAATGTTTTGCAGTATTAAAAATATATATAAAACAGTTCATTAGAAAAATGATTAAGTAGAATTTCTGAAAAATAAATAAAAATTACACTTACGTAACTCTTTTAAGAATGAACTAACTTCCAAAAGAAATGAATCGCAATCCTCTAAATCTGAAAAAATTCCAATAAATAAATTATTATTTGTTATACACACTAAATACAGCATATCAAAAGTGTATAAATTGACTTTTCAAACCTCCAAAATTTGACGAAAATCGGTAAAAAAGACAGACATTTGTTGATCGTGAAATATCGATGCATAATAAAATTAAATTCAGTATATTATATAGATATGAACAGCAATTTACCCCTTTTAAAAACAACTTTAAATATATTACATTCAATTTATTTTACTATTTTTTTAATTTTATTTCATAATATTTTCTTCACATAAAAATGTTTTTTCTTTTCTTCTTTGAAACAATACTTTAAATTACGCCCAGAAAAAATTTATGAATAAGGAAATTTAGGATAACTTATTCAAGAAGAGTTAAAAAAAATATAAAACAATAAAAACTTTTATAAAGATTGCAAAACATCATCTGTGTTGAAATCAATAAGATTAGCAGTGTCGTCACACGGATTCAACTTCAAATTGGATTCAACTTCATCTTCATCTATTGAATCCCACCAAAGATTTCAAGATTCCACATTTTTTAAAGATTTTAAAATATTATTTGAACACATCAGGGGTAATTGTGAGTCCCAGTCAAAATTCCGGAAAATTTCTTAAGTTTTTCAAAAAAAAAAAAAAAAANAACAGTTGAAATTGAAAAACATTTAAATAAGTTTTTTTTCTTCCTTTTTCTCAATATTTCTTAGTTTATTTAAAATATATTTAAAATTTTACACATACCTAAGATGACCTGGAGAAGTAATTAAAATTTACAAATATGTCTTTCTTTCCTGAGTTTATAATTATAACAACTATTAACTGTAAAAAATTAATATTAATCATGAATATAAGCTTATAAAGTATCTCTCTGGCTCTCCCTTACAAACAAATAAAATAAACTGTGTTTTTAAGTTCCACTTTTGAAAACTTGATTTCCGAAAATTTCTGTGATCAATGATTTTTTGAAACGTCTGGACCTTCGATCTCCGGAAACTTCCGGATCACTGTCAACGAAAAATCCGGAAATCCGTACTTTTTCCGGAGCACAATCAGCCCTGACACATTTTGCCACATGTTCATTATCATCAGACATGTATCATATCCAAAGAACAATGTGAAATTAATGTCATCTCTAATCAGTTTTATGTAATTTCTAAAATGTTTCCACTGATGTTTTAACCTAATCCTGAAGAAAACAAGAAATATTGGTTAAAATGCAAAACCAAAACTTCAAATATGACATATTGTACCCCAAAGAAACTTGACTTTTAGCTTGTATTTGCTATTTTTAAACCATAAAACACAAAGAAATATGTGAGAACAAGTATCTCATTTGTGTCAAATGACATAACGTTCTCAAAATAATAGCTCTCTTGCAGAAGTAATCCCACAGTGGACCGATTCCCAGTAGAATACCAAAGTCGAGCATTACTGGTTGCGGTCAGTAAACGGATGGGTGAATACTTTGATCAGCCTGCGTTGGGATCGACTGTGTTCAGCATTGGTCCTCCTTAAACTGTTCTACAGAAAAGTGCTTGACTTCACTCACAGGTCATCGAGCTATCAAAGCAGGGGTGCCACCCCCTCTGCAGAGGATCTAAATTGCGATGGTATGTCTTCGGATCATCCTGAGAGATGTAGTCCATTGATGGGGTTATAAGGAATGCAAAAAATTTATCAATTCTGAGATTGCCTATTAAGCACCTGTACCTATTCTTTTAACAAGCACTTTACAAGTTGAAACTAGGTACTTAATATGTTATAATTTTGTACAATAAAATCCAAAAAAATTTATTTTTGTTTAAAGAAAAAAACTTTTTAAAACACTGCAGTAGGTAAAGCTGATAGCAGACACTTTGTAGCACAGCAGTAGTGCTCTATATTACAACCACATCAGCAGCTTATTTTTCAACTCAGATTATATACACATAGCAGNTAAAGAATGCAAAAAATTTATCGATGCAGAGATTGTCTATTAAGCACCTGCACCTATTCTTTTAACAAGCACTTTAAAAGCTGAAGCTAGGTACTTAATATGTTATAATTTTGTACAGTAAAATCCAAAAAAATTTGTTTTTGTTTAAAGAAAAAAACTTTTTAAAACACTGCAGTACACCTAATTAAGCTGATAGCAGACACTTTGTAGTGCAGCAGTAGTGCTCTATATTACAATCACATCAGCAGCTTATTTTTCTACTCAGATTATATACATATATATATATCGCTGCCTACTCTTCCGATTTTTTCGGAAGATTTTATTTTTAGATATAAAATGGTAGCAAAGTTTATGTTTCTCTATTTAAATATTGGCTTGATAAATATAATTTTCACTATATATATATATAAATTTTAAAAATCTTACAAATTTTCCAAACTGCCCATATACTTAAAAATCTGGAAAAAAAATAGTTTAGAGAGAAAATTTTTTTTTTTTTAAGAACAAAAAAAATATTTTTCTTTATTGATTTTTAAAAGTTTTAGTTTTCTGGCAACAGACTTTTACGACGTTAGAATTTATTCAATCCTTTGAAGTATTGTTGCTTAAAATTTGAATTAAAGAATAATAATTCAATAATATTAAGATGCAAATTACCTGTTATAGAATTGACACAGGATTCCAAACCTAAAAGGTTCTGTAATTCTTTTGAAAACCATTCTACAAGCTGAGTGAACTCAACTGATTTTGGTCCTGCTTCTATGATGGTACTTAATTTGGAGTCTTTTAAATCTTTTTTAAAATACCTACATAGATATAAAAGCAATATAATTATCATAAAAATGGTAAGAAAAAAGCATTACAGATTTTGATACACACACTTTGAATTTCAGACCACAGAGGTCAAAGCCCAAAATTATTATTGTGAAGAACTGAAGATTGTATCTCAGGTTGCAGCTTGAAAATCACAAAAATTTCAGAATGATGAGTGCCAGCTAGCTTAATGCATAGTCTGATATGCGTTGCTAATCAGTCTTATCTACCATGTGGTTGGTCTTAAAAAAACCGTTGAGTCTTAACATATGTAACTAATTCAGCCAACAACTATCAGTAACATGAGTGCTTTTTTTAAATTATGATTTGTGAAATTTGGCACAACCTTGGAAGACTGAAAAAGAAATTAATGCAATCTTGCACAGACTATGCTGCATTAAACTGAAAACATAAAGAATTGTTAACTAAAGTATAACCCAATAAGAAAATAAATATACAACTAATTAAATCAATTCCTGATTCTCAAACATCAAAATACTTTATTTATCAACTGATTTAAGCACAAGTAATAAAACTGATAAAAAAAAGTTACTGAACTATTACTTAATCATTTGCAGAAAAAAAATTAAAGAATGACATTTTAAGACTGATACAACAATTACAAAGAAATAGAGAAGGTCAAATGTACAAAAAACTGTAGAGTAGACGAAATTTTTTTTTTGGTGTTTTCTAGTACACGTAACTCTTTAGTAAGAAAAAGAAATAAGTGTACAATCAGATTCACCCTCTGGCAGAATTTTTTTGAGCTACCTAAAACATAACTCTCTAGCACTAATATCTTTCTGCAAGATACTTTTAATAATAACCATCATATATGTTATTAATTTAAAATAACAAAAGTGCTGTGTTTACAAAAAAAAAAAAAGCATTTATAATTTTTTAAATTAAACACATAATAATTTTTTATTCTAATATTATGGGTGATATTCTCGCATTTTGTTGGGGGTAAAAAAGCACTAATTATTTTTTTCTTTGCATTTTGTAAATAATCACCACAATAAAAAAAAAATTGAAAATCATGAAATCCATGTTAGTAATTGTTGAAAAAAATGATCGACGATGAAATCACGCGAATCGGACTCTTCAAATGCGAGTTTCTTTTCGAGATCAGGTTGTTGTAATACATATCGTATAAAAATATTGGATTTAAGAACTATGGAAAAATCAATAGCAATAACAGCCAAAAACATTAAACATCTTTTAAAGTGCAAAATTTGTTTTATTTAATGCAGAATTTTGCAATTTTGAAATATTTAAAATGTTTTAATTGATTTACGTTATTTTAAATAAAGACCCACTTTCATATTATTTTAAATAAGGACCACATTACCACAACTAATTAAGCAACATTGTCAATAATAATTTGGCAATATTTTTCAATAATATTTTGGCAAAAATAAATAATGATACCATAGGTATTCCATAAGCTTGTGTTGAATTTGAAAAGTTCTTCATGAGAAATGTTCAAAGATTTAAAACTTCTCTTAAATTTTTCTACATAATAAATGCATATATTAATGGCTCTTGACAAAAAATTAAATAATGTTTTGAATTAATCAACTGATATTGAATTAATCAACTTAAAGAAAATAATTGAAACAAAAGAATAAAATACTTCAGAAATATAGTCGAACCTCAATATCACAAATATTGCTTTATTTTTTGATATCATGAAAACATCAGAATTCCTGACAGATTTCCTATACAGGCAATACAAAAACCTTATTCGGAATAGACTGACCCTTGGTTTTAAAAATATTTTTAATCACCAAAGGAACTTTTTTATTTTCTTGAAATATTAGGCATTGATACCTTCGCATTGGTAACAGCACCAAAATAATCTCAAAGATTTGGCAACATGTGAGAAACTAAGAAATACATCACAGAAGGGAGCCAACTTCACAACAAACAACCACAATTTCAAACCACAACATTCTTTTTTTTTTTTCTAAATAAAAAGCAGTTTGGTATATCAACGATTTCAGTTGGTGTGAACAGGTATCGATATAGAAATATCTCCTAAGTATAAGTATTTTTGATATATATACATACTATAAAGCTCTTAAAGAGGATATTTCCGTATAATGATCTGTCACGCCAACTACAATAGCCAAGTTGCCAAATGGATTTTAAGCTTGCAAAAGTTTTGTGTTAAAGGAAACATGTAGAGGTTTGCCAAGGGTAAGAGCGTATGAAAATGACTGGGTGAGGTTTCGCCCTCTATTTTTCGCTCCCGTGATATTCCCGAGCTAAAGTGTTCAGTAGCAACGCACCAATAAGAATAAAACTAATTCATTTCGTTTGCCCAGAAAACATTTTATTTCTCATTTTACACACCAGATGGCAGTGCCAGGATATTTGAAAGATAATTGTATATAGTTAGTTTATTTTAAACTAGATGTCAGCACTAATCAAATACGTGTACAAAAAAAATAGGCACTTTTATGATCGTTTTCTTGAAAATTAACCAATCATTAAAGGAGTAAAGTTATATTCATCCAGTTGGTCCCCTGCTGTGAAGTTAATACTTTTTTTAGTTAGTCATGGGTCGCTTCCCACGGGAAACATGGACTTGGAGTTTATTTTGGGCAGATCACGATACGGAAATCTTCTTCTTTTAAAAATCAAGCACAGTCATTAGTTTACAGATTAAATTTCGGTATCGTTACCAGTTCAAGCCAGCTATCATCATAGATAATAAAACATTTTAAGCGGCAAAATTATAATAACCAAACAAATACAACACAATAGAATAGAATATCTACCGAAGATCATCTAAAGAATCTAAGATATCAAACTCCATGTTTTATTATCTTCTTAACAAAATATCACCTTAAAACCTGGAAAAATAGTGGGTAAAATTAATACGAATTTTTTCTTTAAAAAAACTAAAAACATACAAAATTTTAAATAAAAAGCAGTATTTTCACTTTCAAATGCACAAATAAAATGTAAATAAATATCTCATTGCATCACGATCAGAAAAAAAAAGCAGTGTTTTCCAAGTTTCTTCTTGAAACGGTTTACTCGGTATTTCTCGTTCTCGATCATAAGATTGGAAACTTCAATTATTTAGAGCTGTGCAACTGAAACGCAAAAGTTTCAAACAGTTTAAAACATTTGAGGCACTATGCAGTGGGAATAATAACGTTTTCCGCCTGTTATTTTTGTACATGAAAAGTCGAATTTGTTTTCAAATTTATTTCATATATAATTTTAAAAAAGACACAGGTAGCGCTACAAACAAGGTAGGTACTTTATTTGCCTTGCACTGGAGCTGCACAATGGTAAATGCGACGGTCTGGGAAACATCCCCGAGAATGATCCGAAGACATGACATCGAAATTTTGATCCTCTGCAGAGGGGACAGCTCCTCTGCTTTGGTAAACCGATGATCTGCGAGGGAAGAGCTACAAATTAATCAAGAAAATTAAATACAAAAGAAATCAATCTTGCCAAAATAGTTCCGAAAAGCATCGTTCATTCATCGTGGCGTTAATAAAAAGGAGAGGTTTTGTTTTCGCGGAATTTTAGCAGGGCATTTTTAACATGTGTAATTAGAGACAAGGATCTGCTTAATTTCTTCATTTAAAAAATGAGTAAATAATAATTTGAGCTAAATATATATCTTACCAAAAATCTGCCTTTATTTTACTAAGTCAAAAGAATTTTTGTTTCAGTTAATAAAAGGAAAACTAAGTTATATCAAATCGTGACAACTGACCTAGAGTTCAGGGGTTCAAAAACTTGTGTCACAGTGGGGTATTTATTCAGTTCTTTTTTCTACAATATATTTTAAACTTATAATTCATGCACTAAATACCTATTTTACATTTATTTATTTTTCTATGCTTTTTTTTGATTTCAAATTTATTTATCTCTATTTTTTATACTTTAAATATATTAAGTTATATGTTTAAATACACATTTTTAATTCAAATTTTTATAAAAAAACATAAATATTTTTGTATTAAAAAGTTTTATATCATTAGGAAGTATTGACTCCTTTTTTCACCTCGTACCATCCATTTTAACTGTTTCTCATTAATCATTGTTGTTCCTTACAAATTGATATCCACAAAGACAAAGAACATTTCGTTTATAAAATCTATAATATAGTGATTTTATTTAAAAACATCTTGATAAATATAACGAAATGAACAATTATCCGGATTCGAAAAAAAAGAAGAAAAAAAAGCAACTCTAAGTGGCCGAAAAAGAAAAATGACTTAATAAGAAAAAATAAATGAGAAGCACGTAAGCAGGACTTGTATAATCATATTGAATAATGCGAATAATGAAATCATGTTAACACCAACGTTTAACTTTTTAATAAAAATTTCGCAGGTCCCGAAAAGGAAGACTGGCAATTACGAGTCAATAATATGAATTTCCTGAAATAACACTTTCTGTACGCAATTTGCCATTAAAGCTGAATTTTCACATATCAGTGATGAAGAGCTATTAGGAAAGGAATTACAGTAAATTCATATGTATATTAAGTAAATATTTATAATGCTAGCTACATCTAAATTATTAAAAACTTATAATTTAACGATTACAAATCCATACCTGCCAACTTGTACGGTCGTTGAAAAAGATTTTACAAAGCGGTATTAAAAATAAACAAAGATTGTTAGGAAAAATTTTCGAAAAGCAAAACCATTAAGATATCTATAAGTATAATTAGCCAACAAATGGATCTTATCTACATATTATTGTTTTTAATAATTGATTTGACGTGGTAGTTTTTCTTATAACCGGCGTTGAACAGCCGATTCAATTTTTTGGGATTACGACTAGTAATGTTCTACTCCGTAGACTAGTAAATTTGAATACAATCTAGAAGATAAGGGAACTCCTGGAAAAAGTATTGGGAGAAATCTGCTATCGTGGTGGACTTTTTGATGAAGCTAACCCGTATTTATGTTACATAGAGAGAAAAACCACGAAAACCTCCCACGGTTAGCCTGGCATCAAGGAGTTCTTTCCCCATGATCCGTCTGCCTCTGAGGATATCCTAAGGATATCATAACGCCAGCTTTAAGGTCAGTGCAAGCTGGGTGTAGAATTCGATCGACCAGCCAGCGCTAAATTCAAACCCGGATCACCTCATTTAAAGGCGAACTCTCTATCCTCTGAGCCACCACTCAGGGCCGGATTGCGCGCACGCGGGGCCCTAGGCCATTCAAATTTTTGGGGCTCTTAGATTAATTTTTTTTTCTCGTATATTTTTTATTTATTCAAATATAAAAGTATTTGTTTTCATTTAAAAAAGCATATTTAAAGTAAAAATGAACAATAATAAATTAAAGTTTATTTTATTTTGCTAAATTAGAACTAAAAAAATTATCGTATTTTATTAATCTATGTTTGAAATTTATTTTTTTTTTTAAAAAAAACTGTTTTTCTTAATTTTTGAAAATTTATTTTCAAAAAAAAAATTTTTTTTAGGGGGCCCCTAATCATTGGGGGCCCCAGGCCATGGCCGATTCTGGCCTAATGGGTAATCCCACCCTGCCACCATGGTTTGTCATGGTAGTTCAAATAAAATTTATGAATCAAGATTTAATACGCCCAAACGCTAATGTTGCTACCACTAAGAAAATTATTTCTCAACGCCGTACAAGTTGGCAGCTATGCAAATACAAATTAACGATTTTAAATTGCTTATCTACCGTGGTGGTCACTTACATTTTGTTTCTACGGAGAAAAGCAATTCCTGAAATAACAGTTTATCTTTCTTTCTTTAATTATTTTTTGAGTGAAGGAGCTTAATTGTAACTTTTCTCTGTCCGATGTGAAAGCAATCGTGTTGATTTCCGTCTTTAAAAGTATATTTCTATTAAGGCGAACAAAATTTTACAGTTTTTTTAATGAGTAGGAGTTAATGAAAAAAAAAATGTATGAATTCCAGAAATTTAACACGCCAAGACAACTTTACTTATTCTAATGGGATGAATTACGAAAAACGAGTTTTACTTACTTCAATAACGTAAAGCCACCGGAAAGGGTGACAAATAATATTAAATAAAAAAAAAATTAAATTATTTTAGCCATATTAAATGAAAAATTTAGTGGAAGAAACAGGCAAGAGACATTTTCAGAATGAAGAAAAAGATGTATCCGAACTATTTTATTACCAATTCAGTTGAAGGCGGGATGAATTATTCTTTGCTTTATTGTTCCTAATTTTAAATAAAACCAAGTTATCTAAAAAATAAAACCCTATTGCCTAATTTGAAATAAAAGTCAGGCTACTAAAAATACATATGATTAATTATGTTAAGATTTAAAAGAAGACAAAAGTAGTGCATTAATTCCCATAAAAAGCTATGAGTGTGATTTTGTTATGAGTGTGATTTTGTTATGAGTGTGATTTTGTTATGAGTGTG